TATAAAGTGCCCCAGAACCAATCGAAGTACGTTCGGAAATGTCACTTGGCAACGGCAGAAGCTTTAGCAATCAAAATCAGGAACGTACCACTGAGCAAACAGAGGAAAATGGTTTTCACACTCCAGTTGCGTTGGTTCCCAACCAAACCCACGTGATGATCCGAACCATGACCTCAGTCATGTCGTGATGACGCCACATGGCGTGACAAATTGCACGTGAGAAAGGTCATCGGAAATTTCCAGAATTGACCTTGGTCCCCCTTCGCTCACTGTCCCCTTTTTATCCACTCACTGTGATTAAACTTGAGAGACATTGTTGTATTTTCACACTTAAATTCAGTGGATCATTGAAATTTATTTCTATAATAGATATAAACACACAACTGTAAATCCCTGAAGACGAAGTTACTAAAACAGGATTTTTCTCTGTATTATTAGTCTGTTGATATTCTTATGGGAATCTTCCATGCATTGGCTATTTGTTTACTAAAGCCCCTACTTCTCACTTCAATTAGGCTACCGATGTGATTTTATGTCAGGCCATCTCCGATTCTTCTGTTCCTTCACGATTTTCTGACAATTTGGAAAACGTTTAACATTATTCCACCACATCCGGTCTCTCTCCTAATCCCTCCGAATGTTTCGAATGTCTCCTGTTGCTTTCCTGTTCTTTTTTCCTATGTGAACCGGTATCGATTGGCTCCGAACCAGTATTTCGGGTAATCTGTATTAAATACCTATGTTTCTATCAATGATCAACTTCATTAAACTTCTCAAATTCAACCTACTTCCACTAAACTTTGAAGACTTCCTTTCCACATCCGTAAACTTTGTCAGTTTTTAATTCATTAACTGATTGTCTCCAAATTCGTATACCAGTGTGTTTTCCCTAGTTTACAAGGTTCAACTATTGCTTTTCTAATCTCTTAAAGAAAGATTTTAAACTGCTTCGATGTGGACTGATCGTCACTAGCCGTGTCTCTTCACTCCCGCTGGAGGAGTTGGTAACTAATCTGTGCGAACGTCATTTGAATGCATGGGAACATTTTTGTACATATGATTCTTGTAGATCCCACACATCTACAGATTTAAGTTCCTGTCATTCCTATCCGTCTAATAGATCCCAATACCGTTATATTCTCTCTCAAATAGACATCTATCACAACTTTACAGTACCCTCTTTCGCAAGCATTCTGGTTAATGAGGAACATACTTTTACAGAATTTCTCAAAAGCTTCACGGCTTAACTATTTGTTCTATAATCTGTACACTATTGACTGAAGTGTGGGCTTTGCGCTTAGAGACGTGATTGTTGCAATTAGAATGACGATTAGTTACCGCCGGGTCCGTACATTCTCGTCTAAAGAGCACACGATCAACGGTCAAGGATATCATGTTCCCGGATGGGGCGGAGGGATGAACAGTCACATATCACCCCAGCTAAACTTTTATTCTCGCTCGATAACCCACTCAAAAAGTGCTTTTGTTTATCTATGAAGAAATCACTTCATCCCGACTGGATGGGGTTTTGATAGACTCAATCTACCCAGTGCTGTGTGACGGCCGGAGCACTCATCATTGTGAGGTTCCCTAGAATGCGATTAACCGAATTCATTTGAAGTTGGAGTGGTATGAGAAATCAAGGGGGTTGTTCCATAACACGTGTATTTCTTCTTGTGCCCTATGTAGTATGTTTGTGCATAAAGAAATACATTCATACTTCTATAAAATATATTTCGCTATCTGTTGACCGGCTTTACTAGTAGTAAATGTCGAAGTTAAATATGTTAACTGGCTACTTTTCTCTGTTGCTTGTGAGGAACTCCCAATTGTTTTTCCGTTAGTGTTCCACAGATTCATCGTCACAAACAGTGCCATAAGGTTTCCCCTAGTGCAGTTGGAACTTGGTGAGATAAGACGACTCATTGACTAGGAAATGTCTATCGAGAGTCTAGCGTATCTGTCTGTATGAGTTATATGACCTATCACGCTTGTCAAACACAGACCGGATGTGAGCTTTTTCATTGGTCCAGTCCACATGGCTGATTGCCAGAAAAAGACCAATCAGGGTGCAGAAAATTAATCGATATCCACTTCACACGAGTGGCTCATTCAAACGACCTAACGGGTTGGATTTGTCGAATAAAGAAAGGTGGTATTAAGTGAATACACGTAAAATTATCCAACTTATTGTCTCTAATTTCCCAACTACAAGTGTACAACATGGCCAAACAAGATTCCGTTGGTGTGGCTCCATGTAGTGTGGATGTGCGACTGAATAAGCCACCAATCGGCCCAAGGGAGTACATCTACAATCTAGTGCCTCAACCTCGACCTAATATGATGACCAGGTATACCTGTCTGCCTAAAATTCGACAGAAAAAGTATGAGTTCGTGGATAACCCTAAAAAAGAGGCGATGAAAACAATGGGACCACCAAGTCAAGATCGACAGTCGATTCCGATCTATCCCGAAAAGCATGACTATTTGCGGAAACAAAGCAAAAGACCGTTTATCAAACCAGTTAAATTTCAGGCTGTTGTTTGTGAAACAACACATGAGGAAGATAATTTGACAAAAAGGAAAAATAAGCGTTGCTTGACCGAGGCGAAGGCACCATTACCTACGAGAAAAGCAATTGGTGATGCCTTGGGAGCTCAAGGCATACCGGTAAAATGCCTTAATCCGGAACGTCACAAAGTAAATTGGATTACACGAAATGCCATTTCAACAATGACACAGGAACCGGGGTTTCGAGTACCCCTGAGGAATCGCAACTGCTTGGTGGATACACGTAAGGGTGACAAATTTCCCCTGAAATCTAACAGAACATTTTCTGGCCTAGAACCCATTTATGTGTACAAACAAGGAATGGGGAAAGTGCCAACTTATTTAAGCAGACGTGCTAGACTTATTAAGAAAACGCAAGATTTACTGACCCATTACGTAAATGAGAAAGCACTGCAAAATACGGACTATCTTTTAACAGAAGAACAACGGGAAGAATTATTAAGTGGACTTAAGGCGGCATGGGATCGTTACAATAGAAAATATTTGGGTCTAGCTTCAATCAACGATACAATGAAGGGCAAAACGTACAAACTGTACTTGGAAAAACAATTGGATGCCCTCAAAGCGGATATTGATCTGGTTGAGGGCCATCAATATATTTTTGTCGAGGCGCCCAAAGATCCCAATGGTAACCGTACAACCGCTGAAAAAATTTGTGTGTGAACTCCCCAAAATTATGCATCCAATTTGGTTGACCGAACTTCCTACACTGGTTAGCTCAGCATTCCGTAAAACAAGTGATTCAATTTACTCAACAACAAAAAAATTAAATAATCGGAATCCAATTCAGGCAAAATTGATGCAAAAATGCGCATGAATAACACTGCTGTTTTTGCAACTCAAAACGAGTTCGTGGGATGATTGTTTTGGGCTACACCTTAACTGTACCTACTGTCATCAGTTGCTCATTTTTGAGATGAATAAATAGTATAAAAAAGTCAGATTATTGACATTTAGAAAAAAAATGGTTGGGTGGTGAAATCTTTCGGACTAAAGCGAGCGAGTGAGAGAGAAACAAAGTGAGCTCCAACCTGTACCGCTGTACTAACTGAACTGAACCGACGGTCGTCTAGTCTATTCTGTGTGTGATACCAAGGAAGCAGGTGAGTCTTCCTGACCGCAATCAGTGTGTGTTTCTGTTATCTTGCAGCTTCGGTAATACCTCTCTCTCTATTTTGAGAAGGATAGTAATAGTTATTTCAACCTTTCGATCCAGACTCGTTGTCAAACAAAAATCTGTATGACGAAGT